CTTTGAGGCTTTGCGTCAGAACATCTGGAACAGGTAGAAATTCTGGACAGAGGCAAAGCTGAATCTATGTAAGGTGGAGCTGGAAAGATCTCTGGCTTTTGCCCAGAATCCACGGAGCCTGTGGAGAGAGGTGACAGCTGTTCTTAGGACATAGGCAATGAGTAGTGCAAGAGTTAAATCCTTGGGATTCCTGTCTCCCACTGTCATTTTGCGGTGATTGTTTCTGTCTTCCTCTCCTTATTTTCCATGTGAGCTTCAACTCCTTAAACAGATCTACAGATGTTGGGCATGTAGATTTCCTGGAGAAGGTTCACCAGCTGGCAGAGAAACCCTACATCATTGCTGGGCTTCACTTCGATCAGGTTTGTGTAGAGCCTGTCCAAAGGCAGAGCAGCTTGGCCCTGTCCTCTGAGCCAGGCAGGCTGTGCTCTGGGAGACAGGACAGGGATGTGTTGGCCAATACAGGAATTTCATTTTGGGAGAGAGCGAGAAGGAAGGGTGTTGCTCTCTCTCTCTTCTGACTGTGCCTGGTGCTTTGCCACAGGAGGTGAATCGCTACAAAGGGAAGAACTATCCCATCATGAACATCCACGAGCGAACCCTCAGTGTCCTGGCCTGCAGGGTGAGTGGGTGCCTCTGTGCTGTTCCAGAAATTCCCTGGAGCTCAGTGGTGTTCACCATGAGTTCCTTGGTGTGCACTGAGAAGGCGCGTCTGTCATGGATCATTTGAGGCTGCCAGAGGTGCTGATGAGCTCCTGGGGAGGCTCTGCTGAGCTCCTGTGCTGTCCTGGCTGACCTGAGTTTGTGACCTGCCTGGTTGCTCTGCCAGGGCAGCAGAGGCTGCATGGCTCCTTGCAGACAGACATGCTGGTAGGAAACTCTGCTCCCTGCAGCAGGGGAGAAAATTCCTGAAACAGAAACATGGGGAGCCCCAGAAACGTGTGCCCTGAGCAATTAGCTTTTTGGATTTGCTCTATTGGCATGGAAAGGACATTTTTTAGGGGAACAAAAAGCTGCTGAGTGACAAGCAGTGCTGTTCCCTTATTTGAGTTCCTGACTGTATAGCAGGTGACCTGCTCAGGTCTTTTTAGGAAGTAGGTGGCCTCTGGCTTATGGTTGTTTTTTTTGTTTTTTGTTTGATTGGGGTTTTTTCAAATCTGTATTCTACCTGGTTCCTTTTCTAGTACGTCTCGGAAGTGGTGATTGGAGCTCCCTATGCTGTCACTGCTGATCTGCTGGATCACTTCAGGGTGAGTCCTTGCATACAGACGGACATGAAGATGCTGGTGTGTGATGTCTTGGGGAGGTAAAGTGATGCAAGACAACACAGGGGTGTAAGAGGCAGGTGTTCTGCTCAGTGGGTTACAGGGAGCTCCAGAGGCACTGCCAGGCTGGTGCAGGAAGGTGGCTTTGCTGGTCTCCAGGCTGTGTTTAGTGGGAGCAGTGGCAGGGAATGTCTCTGTCATCTTTTCGATCTTGTCAGCAACTTTGTGTCTTTCTCCAGGTAACACTTGTGTGTCATGGGATGACTGAGGTGGTGCCAGACAAGGACGGTTCTGATCCGTACGAGGTAAGGTACCAGCTGCTTTGCCAGCATTTGGTAGACCCAGCCTGGCTCTGGTTGAGTTCCTGGGCTGAGAAGGTGCATTGCAGAGGATGCTGCTTGGGCAGGGCTGTGGCAGATGATGCTGGTTTTTATCCACCCCTGAGGGCAGCTAGTTGGAGCAGTGTCTGCAAATCATTCCCGACATCTCCACTCTTACAGGCACTGTTTTGCTCTGCTTGTTTCTGATGCCTTCATGGCAGGGTGAGAAAATCTGTGTGCTTTGCTCTGTGCCAGACCTGGGCAGCTTCCATGTACATGTTCTACCTCTGAGGAAATCATTGTGCATCCTGCCTGGCTAGGACCAGGCAGGACCTGCCACAGCTCAGCTCAGCTGTCACTGCTGAGCTTCACACCCAGGTCCCACGTGCTTTCCTATCCCAGTGCTTTGTCTGTTCACAGGAACCGAAGCGACGTGGCATTTTCCAGCTGGTGGATAGTGGCAGCAATCTCACCACAGATCTAATCGTGCAAAGAATCATAAAGAACAGGTTGGAAGTCTTTGTCTCCCAGTTCTGTCACATACTGTTCTGTCCAGAGTGTCTGGGGATTGATTAATGGGATCAAACAGGGAGAGAAGGGGTTATCTAAAGGCACAGAGCCAGTGAACTGGTCCTTCCTCTTCCATGGCTCAGGCAGGCTTTAAGTGTGGAAATACCAGTCTGTACAGGGAAAGGAACAGCTGAATTCTGCTGTGTCAGAATGTGCTGAACAGCATTTTTTGTTTTTTCTTCTTTATTAATGATAAATTTCCTTGCTGTATCCTGCAGAAAAGAGCATGTTGCTTCTTTCAGAGCTTTGCTCTTTTAGGCCTGAGCCCTTCACCTTCAGCAACCTTGGCTCAGATCAGTGGTAAATTTGATTTTGGTGTTACAGCACTATTTGAGATGTCACAGGACAGACCAAGAACAGAATAGCAGCTTTTTCCGCAGAGGGAGAAGTAGTGTGGGAGCCCAGGACTGCAGAGTCACGTCAACAGCCATAGGAAGCTCTGGGAGAGGCTGTGGAAGACTCTGGGCCTACCAGGAGGGTTTCTGAAATGCTCTCAGAATAGAGCAGCATAGGAAAAGGCAGTGCTCTCCTGCTCCAGGTGCTTTTGTCTACAAGAGGTGTGGCTGGATGGGAATCTCACGGCATTTGTGTGATTGATGCAGGCTGGAGTTTGAAGCTCGGAACCAGAAGAAGGAAGCGAAAGAGCTGGCTGTACTGGAGGCCATGAGGAGGCTGGAGGAGGAGAAGCACTAGGCTGCAGAGGATGGATGTGTGGGCCACAGAGCGCTGCAGCCTCACCCTCTGCAGGAGCAACTGCTCTTCAGGAAGGGACCCCTGAGGGGGAGCAGTGCTGCCAGCACACAGGATGTGCTGTCCTACCCTCTACTGTCCTAGCTCCTCCTGCACTAATGATGCAGACGAGTTGGGGTCCCACTGCCTAGTTCTGTCTCTGTTAATCATACCCCATTCCCTTTCCCAGGAGAAGATTTGACAAAAAAAAATGGTTTTAATTATAACTAATGTTTTAACATGTCGATGTGCTTTTGCCTTCTGCCATTTCTGGCTCTTAGTAGGAGGGAAGTGGAGCAGTTGCCCAGGCCCCCTGCCCTGCCAGACTTGGCTGTCCTGACTGGGGTCTGCATTCCAAAGCAGCCCCTTGGGCAGGGGTGGGGGCAGCTTGACAGACGGTGAGAGTGGCCTCTGGTTGGGGGGATGTGGCCCCCCCAGTTCCTCCTGCAGCTTTTACTTAGAGCTATGGGGCCATCAGTGCTGGCTGCTGGAGGTGTTTTTGGACTTTGGGTTCCGCTGTGCTGCCTCTCCTCAGCTCCTTGCCCCTGTGCAGACCCAGAGCTGCTCCGGGTTGAGCTGGATAAGGGCAGATCATTTGCTGCTTCAGTGACGGGCAGTGGGTGGTAGCTGCTGAGGGGGCAGGTGGTGCAAGGACCCTCCATTGAGGCATTTCTCCATGTGAAAGCATGGGAACCCTGGGAGCTTCTCCCAAAGGCTCTTCCATTTGCGAGGCAGCAGGACCTGGTGCCTTGTGTGGACTGTGCTCAGAGCCCCCCTTGTTGCTGCTGCCAGAGTCCACCTTATGCCTGAGGGGTGACATGAAGGTGGGACCTGGCCAGGTGAAGTTTCCGGGTTGTTTTCTGAGGGCTGATGTGCAGCATGTGTGCCCCGGTGGTGAGATGCAGGGCCTGAGGAGGATAGATGCTGGGCTGAGCCTCTTCTGCCTCTTACATTCCAGGGTGCTGTGGTGGGTGTCCTGAGCTGCTCCTTGCACTGGGCCAGTCAGTCCTGCCAGGCTGGGTCTGGGTGTCCTCACTGTTGTAAACTTTTGTTGCTGATCATTAATAAAATGTTGAAGAGTTGTGCACTGGTCTCTTTAGGGATTGAGCCCAGGTAGCAGAATGGGGGTATAGGGATGTGTGCTAGGACCCCACAGTGCTGGGACTGAGTGTGTTCCTTGCATGGCAGCTCCTGGTCCTGGGGCTGGCACAGCAGCTCTGACTCTGAGCTGTTGGTCCCTTCCGGTGGTCTGCCAGCTGTGGAGTGCCCAAATTCACCCTCTGCAGCGCATGGCCCCCTCCCATGGGCACGGCAGAGGAGTTTGTCCTTAAGGACAAACAAACAGCTCAGCACCAGGGGGCCCTGGGGGTCTCTGGGCCATAACCCACCATGCTGGCCTTCCCCCACGGTGGGGACACTGAGCCGTGTCCCCTGCAGCAGTTGGTGGCCCTGGTGCCCACCAAGGTTCCTGCACAGGTGCAGCACCAGCAGCCTCCACCTGGGCTGGACTGTGCCAAGGATGGTACAGCAGGTCAGGGCCTTGGTGTGTCAGGTCTGCAGCGAAAGAGGGAAGCTCCTTGGCTCCTTTCCTAATGAGCATGGTGGTCACTGGGGTCAGCATGGCCCTGGGCACCCTCCCGGGGTTGGGGACTGTGGCCAGATTGGGTGCTCTGTTCCTGGCCTCACCCCTGGGGAGGAAGTGCCCACCCTATGTACCTGTCCAGGGGTGCCCTTGCAAGGGAACAGCTGCTGGGGGGCTGCTGCCACCTCCCCTTATCCCCAAGCCCATGTCCTGTTGCTGGAGGTGCCCCAGGATCTCCTGCAGCACAGGGTCAGCACGGCCTTCCTGTCCCTGGGGTGAAGGGACAGGAGTGCCATGCCTGTGGTCACTCCCTGTCCAGCCCAGCTCCTCTGTCCCCACACCGTGCCCTGCAGCCCCCAAAGGCCTCGGGCTGCCCTCAGGACTCAGGGATTTTGTTCTGCCGGGTGTTTGAGCAGCCTCGGCACCGCCAGAGGGACGGGGGGTGGGGGGCTCAGCAGCCCAGAGCTCTCCAGATCCAGGTGGGCTTCCCCCACCCCAGAGCACCTCCCTGCCCTGCAGGACGGATATGACAGAGCCAGCCCAAGTATGTTTATTGTTTCCCCAGAACCACCAGTGCCAGCTCAGGCCACCGCGCACTCCACGGGGTCCCAGGACACGCTGACATCCGCCCCCGGTGCGGCGGCGCCACCGCCCCTGCAGCCCCGGGACGGCGCACACGGCCACGCGAGCGGCGGCAGTGCGGTTGTTGGGCGGGCCCGCGGGGGGCCGGGACCGGGCCCCCCCCCGTTCCCGGTGCCGCCGTCACTCGCGGAACTTCCACTCCTGGCGGCACATGGGGCAGTGCTGCTGCACCTGCTGCGAGTTCAGCCACTTTAAGATGCAGTGCATGTGGAAGCAGTGCGAGCACTGTCCCCACACCAGCGGGCAGTCGTCGCCGGGCACTTTACCTGCAGCAGGGACACACCGTCAGCCCCGAGCGGTGCGCAGTGCCCGGTGCGCGGTGCCCGGCGCCGCACTCACAGTCAGGGCAGCAGCCGTTGAAGGCCATCCGGCAGATGCCGCAGTTCTCGTCGTTCGCCACCCAGAGCCAGGACGCGACCCCGTGCCAGCTCCGCACGCGGACCCGCATGGCGGACCCGTCCTGGTCCCGTCCCGGTCCCGCCGGAAGTGCCTCCCCCCCCTCAGCGCCCCGAGAGCCCGCCGCGCCGCGCGGCCGCCCCGCCCTTTCCGCTTCCGGCGCGGGCGCAGCGCGGCCGGAAGTGCGGGCGGGAGCGGAGCCGCCATCATGGCCGACAAGATGGACATGTCCCTGGACGACATCATTAAGCTGAACCGGAGCCAGCGCGGGGCCGGCCGGGGCGGCCGAGGAGGCCGGGGCCGGGGCGGTGCCGCCCGCGGGGGCGGGCCAGGCCGGGGCGGCGTGGGCGGCGGGCGCGCAGGCGGCGGCCCCGTGCGGAACCGGCCGGTGATGGCTCGGGGCGGCGGCAGAAACCGGCCTGCGCCCTACAGCCGGGTACGGATCGGGCGACCGGGGCTCGGGCCGGGGAGGCGCGACGAGACGGGACGGGACGGCGGGTCCACGCGAGGCGGCGGCGCGGGTGGCCCTTTGTCCACTCCCGGCGCGGCTGGGGGGCTGCGGCCCCGGCGCCGGTCAGCGAGGTCCCGATCTTGTTGCAGCCGAAGCAGCTCCCCGAGAAGTGGCAGCACGACCTGTTTGACAGCGGCTTCGGGGCGGGGGCCGGCGTGGAGACCGGCGGGAAGTTGCTTGTCTCCAACCTGGACTTCGGCGTCTCGGATGCGGACATCCAGGTGGGGCTCGGGGCGGCGCCGCAGGGGTCGCAGGAGTTTCATTCATTCCATCGGGGTCGGGTGCCCACGGGAACCCCGCCGGCTCTGCTCTCTCCTGGACCCGGGGCCGAGGATTGCCGGGTGATTCCCCTGTGACGGGGTTTGTGCCGCGGATGCCTGCCTTGGCGCGGGCCCGGTGCTCCCGAGAGGGGCTGGAACAGCCTGTTTATAGATCCTTTGGGAGGGGCTGAGCCGTGGCACATGCGGGAACGTGGCACACGATGCTGCACCTCGGCTGGATCGAGCCGATACTGGAGAATTCCCTGTGAGCTCTGAGCTCCTCTCTGTGCAGCTACAGCCGTCCCTGAGGCGCCGTGTGCGCATCCAGGGCTCTGCTGCTGTGCTGGATCGTGTCCTGCTGGGGTTCCTTGGATCCGTGGATAGGGTGACCGGGGAGGTGTCCCAGGGCTGTGTCCCAGTCAGAGCCCGCCGTGCCCACGTGCCTCTGCCCTGGGTGGGGGGAACACATAGTCCCCGTGGGCCCTGAGCTGGTCAGGAACTGGGTGCCGGGTGTGTACCCCCGGGGGCTCCTGGCCTGGATACACTGCAGGGCACAGCCATCACCATGGGCTCTTGGCCTCGTGTCCTCACCAGGGAAAAACAAAACCCCTGCTGTCAGACCTCCCTCATCATCCCTCAGTCTGATCCCTCCATCACCGCTCTGGGGAATGAAGGGAGGGAATGAAGGCAATCTGCTGGGTCACCGAGGAGCATGCTAGATACCACTCTTTTCTGTGTTTCCATTCCATTCCTGCAGACTGAGTGTAAATAAGTCCCTGCTGGGAGCACTGTGCCTTGGGCACGGGCTGGCATGGGCAGGGCTGGGCAGTAATGCCCAGCGGCAGCTCCCCAGGCCCCCGCAGGACAGCCCTGGTGGGAAATTCACCATGGTGAGTTGTCCTTGTTGACTTCCCAAATCTAGCACCTGTGAAGTAAAATTGGTGGCTTCATTGCTGCCTTCTCCAACCTTTGTGGCAGACTTCAGCAGGGGACTTTACTGGTCTCAGTTTCTGGGGTATGTTCCTAATGGGCACAAGCAAAGCGCAGTGCAGCTGCCATCATCTTGTGGATTCCTGTGCTTACACGGGTCATGCCCTGTGAGAAGGGTGTCTGGCGTCTGGAGTATTTTCAATAGTTGCCCCTTTGACTCGGCCTCAACAAACACCCTCAGTTTCTCTGGGGAAAGAAACAGGTTGGCATCCCTTGAGTCTGCTTGACTGGCTGTAGACGTGCTCCTTCAGGAGGTGAATGCAGAGCCCTGTTTGGTTTTACCACCTGTGGCAACTGCTGGAAACCCCCCTGATGGGCTGTGCTGCCCTCTGCCATTGACATGTCCCCAAGCTGGCTGTGGTGGTTGAAGAGACACCGGTGCTCCCCAGTCGTGGCTGTGTGGGGAGATGCTGTGTTGGCAGCGCTGACGGACGAGCACGGCGCTGACGGACGGGCACGGCGCTGACGGACAGGCACGCTCCTCTCTATATCGTTCTCAGGAGCTCTTTGCAGAGTTTGGGACCTTGAAGAAGGCAGCTGTGCACTACGACAGATCTGGTCGCAGCCTAGGGACAGCAGACGTGCATTTTGAGAGGAAGGCCGATGCTCTGAAGGCGATGAAGCAGTACAATGGGGTCCCCTTGGATGGTGAGTCTGTGTGCCATCTCCATGGCCTGTTTCTGTGGCTGGAGTGAAGCAGCTGGCGCACTTGTCCCTCCCTCCCCCTCTCCCTCTCTTCCAACCACATCCTGCACAGACTCACAGGTTCTCTCCCTCCCTCCAGGGCGCCCCATGAACATCCAGCTGGTGACATCACAGATCGACACTCAGCGGAGACCAGCACAGAGGTGGGGAGCCCCTGCCCCAGGCTCAGGGTGGGGACGTGCTGGGCTCCTCCCCAGTGGGGAGCATGGGTCCTGTTTGAGTTCACTGAATGCACTAAAACAATCGCTTTTTAAAACTCACAGTGTAAACAGAGGTGGCATGACCAGAAACCGTGGGGTCTCGGGGGGATTTGGAGGTGGAGGCAACAGGCGAGGGACTCGTGGCGGGAACAGAGGGAGAGGCAGAGGAGCTGGAAGAACTTCCAAACAGCAGCTCTCTGCAGAAGAACTAGATGCACAGCTGGATGCTTACAATGCCAGGGTAAGTGCTACTCAGGCACTGTCACAGGCTCTCTGTGTCTCATCTTTGTCATGGGCAGCACTGGCAGCCTGGAGCTGGCAGGAAAGGGAAAGTGTTTCCCAGGACCTTGGACTGAAGCAGTCTCTCTCTGAAGCTGAGCTGTGCCTTGGCCCAGGCCTTGGCTTCGCTTTCCAGACCCATTGTTACCTGCTGTTGCTGATGGCTAAGGAACAGCCTCTGCTCCTGCCAGGCTAGGGCATCTCCTCCAGAGCCAGAGCAGCTGCAGAACAAAACCCGCAGAGCTGAGAGGTGCAGGAGTGGGAAAGCAGAAAGGAAAATCCCATGTGGAAGAACTGTATGGGGTGCTGCCAGGGGAAGGCTGCAGTGCTGGTGGCAGAAGTGAGCCCCAGTGTGGGGAGCTGCTTGCCAGGCACAGCCTTCAGCCCTCGCTCAGCCACCTGTGCTGTGGCCAGGTCAGAATCCCAACAGGGCCGAGGCAGTGAGGCCACCACGACAGCACAATCGGTGCTGAGCTGGGACAAACCGGGGTGAGAGCATGAAAGGAGTGGGATGAGCAGGATTCCAGAGGCAGCCATGGGGCAGTGCAGGGTGCTGGGGCACGGGGGGACTGCCAGGGGCACTCGAACCTGCCCTCCCTGTCCTGCAACACTGGGCTCCACCAGGGCCAGGTGGGCTGCGTGCAGGGGATGCTGGGGTGGCACAGGGGGTGCTGTAGCACATGATGATGGTTCCCTCTCTCTCCAGATGGACACTAGCTAAAGCAGCAGTGGCGGGCGCAGGGAAGGACTCCGATCTCGCTCCACACTCCCGGCAGGGGCTGCGGCTGTGGCTACTACTACCGAGGATGGGATTTGTTTTACTTTTATGTTCTGGGATAGGTTTTAACTCCTGTAAAGGTTTTTTTTAATTCTGAGCAGACCTGTTTTGTACCGAGTTATTTTTGGGATAAATTTTTCTGGTTGCCTGTTGGGCCGAGGTGGCTTTTTCACCTTTGCCATAATAAAATAGAACCGTGTCTAGAGCTGTGGCTGCTGCCTCGCCACATCGTGCTGGGCCCTGTGTCTTCCACCCACCACCGTGCTCTGCGCCGTCCCAGTCTTGTCCTGCCAGTCCCGGTCCCGTTCTGCTCTGTCCCATTCCCCGTTCTGTTCGCTCCCCGTTCCTGCCCCGTCCCGGTCCTGCCCCGCCCCGTTCCCCCACTTGTCCCGCTATTCCCCGGTCCCGCCCCCTTCCTGCCCCGTTCCGGTTCTGCCGTTCCGCTGTCCTGTCCCGTTGCCGTTCCTGCCCCGTTCCCGCCCCGCTCCCGCCGTGCCGCGGTCCCGCCCCGCGCGCGCCCCCGGGCCAATCGGCGCGTGCCGAGGCGGCGGGTCCCGGGAGCGCCGGGCGTGTCCCGGAAGTGCGGGGGCGCGCGGGCCTGGGCGGATCCGCGGCGGTGTCGGCGCAGCGCGGAGCGAGCGGGGCCGGTACGGCGGGGCCGGGCAGGCGGGGGCGGCGGCGGGGCGGGCCGAGCTGAGCTGAGCTGAGCTGAGCTGGGGGGCTCGGGCCGCGGGAAGGGCCGGGCCGGGCGCGCCGCACTGGTTCTGGCCCACGGGAAGGGTCGGGCGCGGCCGAGGGTCGGGCGCGGGGCCCCGCGTGCCCTTGCGCGACCTTCCGAGGTCCGGGGGAGCCGCCGCCCCCGGCGGGGCCGGGCCGGAGCGGAGCGCGCGGAGCTCGGGGCCGCGGCGAGGGCTCCGAGGGGCCGCGGCGGCTCCGAGCGCCCCCGGGCTTCCCCCGGTGTCCGGGCCTCGGGGCGGGGGGAACATTGCCGGCCCTCTGCCTACCGGGGCCGGCGGGGCCTCTGGCGCACGCGGGTTGTCCATAAATGGCCGCTCGGTACGAAATGAGGAACCGGGAGCGCTGTCTCTGGTCGGGCCGCTCCGATCGGGGCAGGGCAGGGCCCTCCCGCCCCCGGGGGGGTCCCGCACGGCCTGGCAGCCCCAGAACCGCGCCCGCCGCTGGTGCCGGTGAGAGGAGCCCCCGGCCGTGCCCGGGAGGGTTTCAGGTCCGCGCCGCTGCTCCAGCTCTCCGAGCGATCTCCCAGTACGGGGGATCCTGTCCCGTGGCTGCGGAGCTGCTGCGGGTTCGGTGCCGGCCTTGCGGCCCATGGAGCCGGTTTGTATCCCGGGTGCAGCAC